GGGTGTGGGTGTGAGTGTGGCTGAGGGGTGTGGGTATGGGCGTATATCTTCTCTTCACTCACATCCACGTCCATATTGACACTCCCACCCACACTCACCCACACGCACATTCATCCGCACCCACACCAAACCACAACCACATCCAAACTCACGCCTATACCCATCCATGCCCACAGCCAGACAACCACACCCACACCAACACCAATCCGCATCCACATTCAAACTCACACCCACACCCACACCCACAACCATACCCACAGCCACAGCCGCACCCATACCCACACCCTACAGCAAGAAGTTTACTGATGTCCAGTCTGGTCATCATGAAGCTCAAGAAACCGCTTTAGACTTCCGAACAATGACTCGTAACTGGAAGAAGTAAACCAAAGTTAGGAGCTTTGTAATCACTAGTCTTGACATGAATAGGCTTCTTGCTGTAGTCACATACCAAAAAGATGCATAGAGAGGTAGTCTAAGATCTGGTCAATCTGCATGCTGCAAGAAAAGCAAAAAATTAGAGCATGAAAAGAGAAACACTGCGTAGTGATTTTTTCTGAAAATTAAAAAACAACTGGTTTTTGTATTTCATTCAAAAGTGATAACTTTGAAAAGTATTTATGAAGCTTGCAGTGGCGTACCCAGGGGGGACCGAGGGGGCCCGGGCCCCCCTTGAGACGAAAAGTCCTGGAGGAGGGGTACAGGAAAAAAGATTTTCACGTGATAAAAAATTTTTTGTGCCATGGTCGGCCCCCACTACGAAGTTGAGCTCCTCCCTTGAAAAATTTCTGCGTACGCCACTGGAAGCTTGTCCATGTCAAAAAAAGCTTCACAGTGGTACCTATCATATGAATAAAAATTCAGTTGATTAAGTTTCATAAATAGTGGAGTTATTCAAATTTACTTTCACAGTGAACTTTTGGGACATCCTGTATAAACATATTGTATGGTAAGATATTCAACTTTTGTTTGTTCTCTTAGTCCTATTGAAATTCATGTCAAAATTTTGCATTTTGTATGTGTCACCGAACGGAGAAACAAAAAATATCTTTGATTCTTGAAGAAAAATATTTCATTTTTTTAAAACGATTATTTGCTATAAGAGAATATTTACGTAATTTTATATGTTTGTTTTTATCTTTATTATTTTCGAAGACAATTGTCATTATGGGAGACAGACCTGACGAAAGATATTTAAAACGATGTTTCGAAGAGATAAATTCTGCTATTAATAAAACAATTGATGAATCACAACCTAAACAATCACAATCTCAATCTGATGTATTTCGCACAAATTCAGTATTGAGTACAGGTGCATATATATTTACAGTAAATAAATCCGAACAAGAAAAATTGGATAAGTTTAAAGAAGATATTCAATATTATGTCGATCAATATCGACCACGTTTGAGTGATACGTGTAAAAGATATTTATTTGAATACTTACATCAATTTCATTATGATGAAGATGAACAAAAATTTTCAAGTTCATTTACAATGGATAGTCTTCATTCATTTGAATGTTCTCTTCGAGGTGCATTAGCATCTATTGATGCTTTTAGAGCAGCATGGGATGGAAATCTTCCAATTGTTAAAGAATTTATTCAAAATTATCCAGCATTTAAAGATAAACCTGGTCTTTATGGAACAACTCTTTTATATTCAGCAGCAAGAAATAATCATATGGCTGTTGTTCAATATCTTGTTCAAAATGCACGTTGTGCTGTTAATGCTCAAAATTTACAAGAACTTGAAAAAGCTTTGTTTACAACAGAAAAAGGTGGACATTACTCAGCTATTCCATCAGCTGCTTCAACAGCATTGCATGGTGCTTGTTTTTTTGGTAATTTAGATATTGCTATATATTTAATTGAACATGGAGCTGATTATTTTATTCAAAATCAAGTTCGAGAAACTCCAATAAAAAATGGATTGGCAAAAGAAACTATTCGACGTTTCTTCGAAGATTTTCTTATCTTAGGTTATTCTCAAACATCGAATATTCTACCTGAAGAACCGTTAAATGAAAAACTACAGACAGGAATATTCGATTGTGTTTGGGAATATAAATCATTATCAAATAAAGAATGGAATTCATTTTTAGTCAATGAATCAAATGAATTAAATCAATCAGTTTTAATAAAACCTGATCAAGAAATTAAACAAGATATTTATTTAAAAGAAAATTCTCTTGTTTCTAATGTTTCACTTACTAAATTTCTTCGATCAACTAAAAATAAAGATGAAAAAAATCAATTATCATGGATTCGTTGTCGTGGATCATCTTTATGGAATTTTAATTGTAATTGTTTATGGCAAATAATGATTAGTGAACATCCAAATCTACGATCAAATAATGAACCATCATTAAAAGCATTTGATATTCCATTAACTAATGATAGTAGATTTAAATTACAACTTAATTGTTGGTATAATTGTACGACACAAATTAGTTCACACTTTGATAAAGCAATTAATTATAGAAGAAAAAGAATTACTATCGATGTTGATTTTATTAATGATGATAAATTTCAATTTAATCTTCATTTGTTTATATTTACAAATCAACAAAAAACTATATCCGGTTACATTCGTTGGATACCAATATTTCCATCGAAAAATGGACATCATTCAAATAAGATAAGCAATATTGACAATGTACAAAAATTATCTAATTTTCAAGTTGAACCATCAAATAAAAGAAGACATAAACAAATATTTCAAAGAAATTATGAAAATTCATTATCCGATGATGATGATAATTTTCAATATGATGAAAATGAGGATGATATTCAACAGTCAACACATTTAAATGCCGATGAAGATGATGATGACGATGAAGACAATGATCAAAAAGAGGTTAACTCTTCTTCTATTAAATCCAATCTATCTATTTTCGATTCATTTTTCTCTCCATTAATTTGCCCATTTCCTTAAAAATTAGCAAAATAGTAGCAACTTGAAAATAAAAGTCTACTAGTCATCTTATCCAGCTTATGATTGGTAGCGACTAGAGATATAGAGAACCTACTCTTTTAATTCCGACCATTGTTGGTCACAGTTAACAGAAAACTATTGCCGAATGTATTAATCTCAAATCTTAAATAATTATTCGATGCTATTTTCTTTAGTCGATGATAAAGATGTGTGAGACTATGCTTTTTTTTTAATCGCGTACATGTATAGTTGCAACTAGAAATGGAAGTATCCACTCTCTGTCACTGCGATTGTGAATTTTTGATTGCAAGTTTCTAATATGTTCTACGCTTTCATAATCAAAACTGATCATATTTTATTTACCTAATATGTTGTCTTCTTGAATATAGATAAACTTAAAAATGAGTTGGTATCTTGCAGAAAACAAAGTACTTTCCATTGAATTGACAAGAAATTTTTTTATAACTTTTCTTAATGTTCTGAAAAAAATTTGAGGGGAGATCAATATCTTTATCCATTTCAGCATATGTTGATCTTAGTAATAGTTCATCGAGAATACTAATTTAGTACGTATTCAAATACATTCATAGTTGGTTCAAAGTTATTTCAAAACCAATTCCATATGTATTCCTAATATTATCTTAATTTTTGTTCAAGACTAATGAAATCATTTCTAAAAGGTTGAGTAATTTAGTTCGGACGAAATATTCAGCCTCGACTAGAATTTCGTTCTCTTTCTAAAAATGAACTCACGGGGGAATCTTTGGAAGTGATGATTCATCGCCTTTGACTCATATTTTGCCCATATATAGAACGCTTATAGAATAGAAAATTCGAAAAGACTATGAGCTCATGTTACGATTTGGTTGAGATATGAAAGTTTTATCATATTGTCCTTGCAGAATTCTGGTTTTTTTTTGACGAAATCAAATTTTTAAATATTGGACTGAAACTTTATTCACATCAAGATGTCAGTTGGATCAGTTGATCATACATATTACATAAACCACAAATTGCTTGCAATAATTGATAATTCGCAGATACTACATTCAAAAGTTCTGAAATTTTTCATCTAAACTAGTCCAATTGGCATTTAGATGTGAACAAAGCGCTAGCCTAGTATTTAAAAATTTGATTTCGTTAGAAAACAAGCATCCTCCAGTAAGAATCCAGTATAACTTCCATATCTCAGCTAAATCAAAACATGAGGTTGGGATTTCTCCAGTCGATAAGTGTCTGGCAAATGGAACAAGCCTGAAATATTATTTTTAATTGTAAATGAAGTCTATAAGTTAATTTTTCAAAAATGAGAATTTTGAAAAATAAAAAAAAAGGAATTATGGTCTTTTATCCAAAGACAGAAAAAAGCTCGAATGATGCATTTTTAAGAGTATCTTCTAATCTACAGACTGATAGAAAAATAAAGATTCTAACTTTTTAGATTCAAATCTTGATAATGATAATACAGAAATATGCGAAAATATGTTTAGTTCAAACTAATTTTCTGGACTATTGAAAGATTAGTTTAATAGTTTCAAATCTAGTTGGTGAATAGTGAACAATCATTTTATGTAAAAAAAAAATTCTCGTTCACTCTCACCCTACCTCAATGTGAATTGTATTAACTATCGAATAAAGCTACAAAGGTTGAGAATAAAGATTTTTTTAAAATTTCTTTTCACGTGTCTTGAGTGATACAAATATCGATAGAATTATGAGCAATCGATGAAACCTAATAATTATTGATAAATCAATGTTATTATATTTTCAATTAGAAAATTCAATGTTTTATTTTGTTTTTATTAGAATGCAAAAAGTCGTGAAAGAGGGTGTTGGTCTTTGTATGCTCTTGAAAAGGATGATGATAATGATACAGAATCAGTGATCAGTGACGATACAACAAGTTTAGATCTGAACGATTATTTAAATGAACGTCCTGATCAAATACAAAAAGCATCCACATTGGATGAGTCAACTTCATCTATTCATCGTCAAGAATTAGAAGCAATAAAAGCAGAATTAGAAAAAAAGAAACACGATAATGAAAATCTTCAAACTCAATTTGTAGCTGCTCAAGAAGAAATACAAAGACAAAAAGCACATACAACTCAAATGTCAGCTAAACAAAAAGAAGAATTTGATAAACTCAGTAAAAAAATTGAAGAATTAAATATTGAACGACAAAAAATCGAGACAGAAAGATCTAATCAATTAAAAATGGAAAAAGCAATTAAATCTATTGATTATAAAAATATTCAAATAGAAATTGTACAAGATTTTCTTACACCGAAATTTTATCATATACTCAATTATTTAAAACAAATTAAAACTCAATTTATGAATTATCAAAAAGATAAAATACCAAAAATGCAATTTGAACAAACAATAAATGGATATACTGTTTCTATTCTCGGTTTTCAAGAACATCATGATACATTCAAAGGTATTGTAACATGTATTAGAGAATTATTACGTTTAAAACAACGAGCTATTGATTTTCATCAAAGAAAATTAAATCAACGAGCAAATTCAATTAAAAAAACTATTTTCAAAGTTAAACAAAAAACTTCACTTTGGAAACAATATTCGAAAATTTTTATTCAATTATTAGATGAAAAATCAAATGAATTTATAAAAAAATTTTATGATTATATTCAACAAGTATCAAAATCTTTAATTAAACAATGTATTTCAAATGATTTAAATACAATTCGAAATGAAATACGAAAACAAACAGATCAATTTATGAAAAATAATTTTTTAATTAAAGAAATTGAAATATTTAAACATCAAGCTTTTGAAGAGTTTATTAAACAAAATATTATTTTTCAAAGAACTTATCATGAGAAAAAACCATCAAAAAAATCAATATCAGTTTTAGAAAAACTTATTGATAAAATTCGAAATTCATTGAAAACAAATTCATCTTTTATTGGTCATGAATTAAAACATTTTAATTTAATACCTGATTTATTACAACAAGTTATTATTTTTTATTCTTGTTTTAATCTTCAATTACCTTTATTCGAATTAGCTGATGAATTATTAAACAAAATTGAAAAGAATACTGTTACCACTATTGCAACATCAACTGGATCAGGTAATAATTATTCGATATTTTTAATTTAAATCTTAACGATTTTCAGTTCACTTTTTTTTTCTTCAAAAGTTTATCATCATTTATTATTTCTTGTTTTGACAAATCTTGTGAAATTAAATGTAATATTTTAATATGTAGATCTTACAGAAATTCATCGATTATTTTCACTAAAGATATTGCGATCATCGACATTTTATCTGAATATCAGATCCATCTGGAAGTAAAAATCAATATATTGTTTGAAGAATTTTTTATTAAAATATATCAATATCTAAAATTCGATAGAAGTTATGTTTTTACTTCTATTCATATAAAAAACTATTCTTTTTTCTTTTATGTTTTCAAAAGCACTCTAAATGTGGTAAAGTTGATGATTGATTATATGAATTGTAGGTAAATCTTCATTATTACCAGCTTTACTTGCTGCTGAAGGATACGATAAAATAATCGTAACTCAACCTCGACGTTTACCATGTACATTAATATGTAAGCGTGTCAATGCAACAATGACATCAGTAGTAGATCAATATTCACCTAAACTTGCTGGTTGGGCTGTTAGTGGTGCTGAAAATAATCAAAATGCAACAATTCTTTATTTAACTGATGGTTTATTAAAAGAACGTTTACTTTATGATGAAAATTTTATAACACAAGATACTCAATTAAATAAGTCGATTGTTTTTTTTGTGGACGAAGTTCATGAAAGATCTGTTAATATTGATCATTGTTTAGCTTTATTAGCCCGTATATTAAAATTAAAACCAGATTTACAATCAAAAATGAAATTAATTATATCATCAGCTACATTAGATGCATCTGTACCAAAACTTTTTCGTCAAATAACAAATCTTAAATGTTCTGAATTTGAAATGACACAAATGGGAACACTTTATCCAATAACAAAATGTTCTTGTCCAAATGCAAATATTTTAAATATTGTACAAGAATTATATCAAGAACGTCGACGACATGATCAAATTCTTTGTTTTGTTAGTTCAGTAAAAGAAGTTAATGAATATTGTACATTAATAAAAAAGATAACAAATGGAGCTATAACTGCTTATCCACTTATTCAATCTCAACAAGCTTCTGTTCAACAAGATTATATTGATAATGGAAGTGTTTTCTTTTCGACAACAGTTGCTGAAACTTCATTAACATTTCCTCAATTGAAATATGTCATTGATACTGGGATGATTACTATACCTGTTTATGATCCAAAATCAAAAAGAACACTATTAAAAGTAGATCGAGCTGCTGAGTCAACAATAAAACAACGTTTAGGACGATTGGGACGAACACAACCTGGAATTTATTATTCTTTATATGATTTTAAAGTTGAAGATAAAAAATATCCAACACCACAAATATGTCAATTCAATTTAATGGATATAGAATTTTCATTAAGAAAATCACCAATTAAACAAGGTTTAAATTATATGAAAGAATTTTTACCTGATAAACCATCACAACATATTATTGATCATACTATTGAAGAACTTAGAAAATTAGGTTTGTTATCTTTGATTTCATATTGAACATTTATAGAAAGTTAAATATTGCCAACTCTCAGATAATTTCAAATACAATTGAAAGATTACTTTTATTTGTTAAAAAAAATCTTATGATGAGATTTCCGAGAAGAAAAAATTAATAATTCTGAATTGCTTCGGATAATTGACGAGATGAATTGCAAATCTGATTTATACATAGAATAGGTTCACATTATAGGATCTGAACATTGATTTGTAAACATGAAACGTTAAATAAACGATGACTCATTACATCTCAGACACGTTTTTAGATTTTTCAGTTTAAATTTTGATAAAAAGTTTCTTCAATGTATTCACATCAATGTTTACAGTCTCCAAAAAACGGCTGTATTTCATCCGATTTTGATAGTTTCCATTCGATGTCAAATTGTGCAATTTTATCGAAGTAAAGACAAAAAAAGCTTTAGATTGAAGATAATAGTGAACATAAAAACACGCTGAACATTAATTGAAACTGGTAGTCTGATACGAACTATTCTATTTTATTGAAAACGAAGAAATTCATTTAAGTTAATTACTCAATCGAATTGTCATGAAAATAAAAATTCATGTCAAGAAACTCTCAGTACTGACTTAATTCCTATTTAATAATCTTCTATATATATAATGTTCAGTGTGTGCGTGTGTATGTCTGTGCCGGGTCAAAGGTTAAATGTCAAAGATCAGATAAGGTTATAAGGGGAAGGTGCCAAGGGCTATTCTATGAAGGCATCCGTAGGTCCTTATGGGCTATCCTATGGAAGTATCCATAGGTCATCAAGGGCTATTATATGGGGATACCATAGATCCACACGAGCTACTATATGGAGATACCCACAGGTCCTCAAGGGCTATTATATGGAGGCACCCATAGGTTCTCATGGACTATCCTATGGGAGCATCTATAGGTCCTCAAGACCTATCCTATGGTGGTACTCATAGGTTTCCAAGGGCTATCCTATGGGGATACCCCTAAGGGTATAAGACTATAGGAGATAAGGCGGTAAGGCTACAAGAGTATAAGACTATAGGAGGGTAAGGTACAAGACTACAAGGGTACTAGAGTATAAGGGTACAAGAGTATCAGGCTATAAGATCGTAAGGCTATGAAGCTATTAGAGGACAAGGTCACAAGACTACAACGGTATACGGCTACAAAGGTATAAGGAGTAAGTCTACAAGGTCTATCTATATACTTAATGGGCAGTGCGTGATTGTCTGTTACTGGGCCAAGATTAAAGCACAAATGCGAAACTTTACAGGAAAAAAACAACCGTACAGTATACATGGGTTCTCGCTAGTGGATAAATATTTGTGTTTTTTTATGTTCTATGTTATTTCAAATCGATCTTCATATTGAATCAATTAAAATGTTTTCTTCAATGATTTGTAAATTCTTCTGTTGTTTTTAATTTAGACATTTTGAAGAAAGATACTAGTGAAGCGCTAACAAATCATGGTGTAGCTCTTGGAAAATTACCCGATTTCGGTTCATTGGCAATGTCAAAATGTGTTTTAGCTGCACTAAAAGATTATAATTGTGGAGCTGATCTTATTGCTCTGTCATCAATTTTAAGTGTTTTAAATACAACAACTTTATTAAAATCAATTCCACAAAATTTTAAAAGTTCAAATGGAGATTTTATGACATTATTAAATGTAATGGATGAAATTTTAGTTGTTAAACAATCAGTTCCAAGTAAAGAATTTAGTTTAGATCGTATTTGTCGAGCAAAAGGTTTAAATAATATAAAACATATTCTTCGACAAGTATTAAGACGTTATAATAGTTTAGAAAAATCATTAGATTTATCAATTGATTATCGTGGTAAAGCAAAAATAAAATCAAATGATTGGGAATTAATTGCTAAATCATTATTATCTGGCTATTATGATAATATATTTGTATCAGCCAAAGAATTATATGAACAAACTCATCTTTATATTCAATATAACGGTTCAACTGAAGATAATTTTGCTGAATTAGACTCACAATCTGTTTTAGCGAGATCAACATATAAAATTCCGCCAGCTTTGGTTTTATCACGAGATATTCGTTATTCAACATCAATTCGCTCCAAAGCAATTCTTTCATTTGTCGGAACAATTGAACCTGAATGGATTGAACATCCAATAAAACGTCAATTAAAAATCAATAGTAAAGAAGAAACACGTCTTAATAGTAATAATATATTCACTAATGCTTTATCGAAATTTTCTAATCGAATTACTATGTTATTAACTAAAACCGATGTTAGTCTATTGGGACGAGCAGGAACTGTTTTTAGTTCTGAATCCCATCTTTTACAACAAATGGTTGAACAATTTCAATTTAATTTAGAAAATAAAAATACTCCAAATACAGCACAACATACAAATTTATCTCGAAATTTAGAAAGTGTTATGAAAATGCCTCAAATATTTAATCCAATGAAATGGCGTTGGAAAAATAAAAAACAAGTTATTATTACAGTTAATTGTAATATAGCAACAAATATTTGTGAAGTTACAGTCAATGGAAGAAATTCAGAATATAATAATGTTAAAAGAGAATTTGATTCATTTTTGTCTTGGTTACAAAATTGTGCCGTTATTCGACATCCTAATTCAGGTAAAAAAAACATGATTCTCTCATTCAATTAGAAGACAAGTTTAAATGTAAACAAAAATAAGTGAAATGATGCATTGAATTATTCTTTAGAAAATTTTCGAGTAATCAACAATTCATTAAGTTATTGTCAAGTAGAAAAATATTGTCTTTCGCCATAAGTAGCTAAATCGAAACTGAATATTTGAATTATCTGTGAGAATTAAGAAGATATTTTATAAATAATGACGAATGACAGAAAAAAATGACGATTTTGAGAAAAGTGTAAAATGTAAAATTTCTCTTGTTCCATTCAATTTCATTGATTTATTTATCTCTATTCTATTGAACACAAAAAAAAACGAAATATCATCAATTTTAGGTGTTTCACCACGTGTTTTTCGTCCTCAAGTTCGTTCAAAATATCTTGATATTGAAGAACGAATATCTCATATAACTGATTGTAAACGAACAACAATTGATTTATATAATGGTGCCAAAGGTGTCAATGCAACACGTGAAACACGAATGGAAGTTGTTGCTTGGATAGCTGTATGTAAATTTTCTTGTCGACTTGAAGGAGGTTTTGTACGTGATTGGGTTGTTGGTCAATACACATCACGACCAGCTAATCCTACAGCAAGTCCGAAAGATTGGATATCCTATAGGAATTCAATTCCAAATATTAATCCAGAAGTCGTTCCTGCTGATTTAGATTGTCATTTACCCACACATGCTTATTTTGATGTTGAAAAATTTTGTGATGAATTATATAAATATGATATAATATGTAAAGTCTTTCGACAAGATTGGAGATATGTTTTATTAATTGATGAAAATGCTAAAACAGGTCCATTTACAATGGATTTAATTGAACCTCACGTTGCATTAACACAGGATCGTATTGATTTTGATGTTAATAATTTATTATTAGAAAAAGATTATACACGTGAATTAGGAATGCGTGTTGATATTCAACAAACACCTTACTTAATTGAACTTGAAACAATTGTCGAAAATAGTAAAAATAAACGTTTTCAAGTACTTCGTCCAATTGATGCTCATCTTACTAAACGTATTGATAAAATGGTCAATATTCGTAAATGGACACAAATTGGACAACCATTTTTAGTTGTACCAAATCCAAATCCAAAATATTCTGCAGTTCTTGTTCCATTACTTCCATCAACAACTTTATATAAAGATCTTGAACAAAAAATGAAAACAATTGGAACATCAGTTAAAATTATTTCAATTGAACAAGTTAAAAATCCTTTATTAGAAGATACATATGAATCGATGAAAAAAATCATTGCTAGACAATGCCCAGGCTTCAATCCGAATGAGCGTGAATTATTTCATGGAACTAAACAATCTGGAGTTGATGGAATTAGAGATGATGGCTTTGACGATCGACACTTTGGTTTAGAGGGAAATTGGGGTAATTAATTCATTTCTTTAAAAATAATTGATGCAAGAAGTTTTTCGGGATTCAATTGACGAGGAAACTTACTGAGGTGTTTCTCTCACGAGGGAAGGTCCCCAACTGATTCACGATGTTTTTGTTGATATTTTATCCATATATAGAGTCCGATGAGACTAGAAAAAGCCTAAAAGAATAACGACCCATACGCTTTCCTTCTCGAGGCTAAAAGTCTCAGCCAAAACAAATGCATCTTTTCCGAAATATTGAGTTTTCGATAAAAGTCGATTTTCCTGATATGTGTGTAGCATGGTAATGTTTTCTTGGGAATGCAATATTTCAGAAAAGAAATGTTTGTTTTGGCTGAAACTTTTAACCTAATAAAGCCTCCATTAGACCCTGGACAGTTCCATATCAGTTCCGTTTTTGAGAACTGTTCAAACAGTTCTTTGATAGGAACTGATCTGTCCAACCAGTTCTTTTAAAAGAACTGATCTGTGCCTACCAGTTCTTTGATAGGAACTGGTCCGTCCAACCAGTTCTTTGATAGGAACTGATCTGCCCAACCAGTTCTTTGATAGGAACTGATCTGTTCAACCAGTTCTTTGACAGGAACTGATCTGTCTAGCCAGTTCTTTGATAGGAACTGATCTGTGCCTACCAGTTCTTTGAAAGGAACTGATCTGTCCAACCAGTTCTTTGATAGGAACTGATCTGTTCAACTAGTTCTTTGATAGAAACTGATCTGTAGCTAGTGGTGGGAAGTTACCGTTCCCAGACAGTTCCTGGGAACGGTAACGGTAACGAAAAAGTTCCCAGTCACCGGGAACGGTAACGCCCCGTTCGCAGTTACCCGACAACGCAGGTAACGGTCAGGGGACTACCTAGCATCATCAATCTCATAGCCTTGGTCCCCACGAACAACTATTGTGGGTACCCTTGTGTCGACAAGCCCCACTATTGGAGATACCGTTGGGTCATCAAATGCTAGTATTAGCAAATACCTTTGGCTCATCAAGTGCTCGTATAGCTGGGTACACTCAGCCCAACCAGTGCAACTATTACGTGGTACCGTGCGTTCAACCAATGCAAAATTTGCACCAAACCGTTGTGCCGCCAGGATTAATTGCCAGGAAGGGGGTATCCTTGGCCCAACCACCGCAAAAAGTGGCGCGGTAACGTGGGCACAATCTATGCAAATTTTGCGCCGAACCTTCATGCCATCAGGTTCAATTGCCAGAAAGGAGGGTAGCCTTGGTCCAACCACTGCCAGAGTTACGCAGCAGCCTTTGCCCAAACAGTGCAAGTGTCGCGTGGTACCCTTGCCCCGACAATTATTGGTGTTGCCAGTATCCTTGGCCCCTGAAGTCTTACTATTGGGGGGCACCCTGACGTCCTGAAGTCAAAGTATTGGGAGGTACTTTTCGGTCCTCCAGGAGGACCCGAGTATATCCCGTAATGCTAGCACTTGGTGGACCAAGGGTAACCCCGAAACGTAATGGTAACTTCCCACCCTATGTGTGAATGCTGAGAGAAGACTTATACGCACACACACCAACACCCAACCCAACCCACACAAAACCCATCCCAAACCCACACCCGGTTCTCGAAAGAGAACTGGTCACTTTATCCAGTTCTTGAAAAAGAACTGGTCACTTTACCCAGTTCTTGAAAAAGAACTGATCACTTTTACCCAGTTCTTCAAAAAGAACTGGTCACAATAAGCAGTTCTCGAAAAAGAACTGGTCATTTCACCAAGTTCTTCACCAAGAACTGGTCACGGTAGCCAGTTCTTGAAAAAGAACCGGACGCTTAATCCAGTTCTTCGAAAAAGAACTGGTTGCAATAACCAGTTCTCGAAAAAGAACTGGTTGCAATAACCAGTTCTCGAAAAAGAACTGCCGGGTGTGTACAGTTCTTAGAAAAGAACTGTCGGGTGCACACAGTTCTCGTCAAAGAGCTGGTCACTTTAACCAGTTCTGGAAAAAGAACTGGTCACTATACCCAGTTCTTCGAAAATATACAGTTTATAGAACTGGGAACTGTCCTAGGTCTAGCCTCCATGTAGAGAAAATTTCAGATCGAAATTCGATAGTTTTATTTCTCATTGAATTCCTTGTCCATAGATGATAAATCCAATAAAATGATCATAACTCCCGAAGGAAGGCCTATGGGCCGTTATCCTTTTAGGCTTTTTCTAGTCTCATCGGACCTTACATATGGGCAAAATATCAACAAAAACAGCATGAATCAGTTGGAGACCTTCCCTTGTCAGTGTCTTAATAAAAGCCCTAAAAGGATATGGATTATTTATATAAAGTTCCATTCTTTCCAACAATCTGTCAAAATTTGTTTTTATAACTCTTCTTCTGGAATGTTTTTTTTTTACTACTTTGGAAACCGTATGAGCCAATGATTTTTCATTTGCTTGGTCAGTTAAATTACGTTTGATGTAATCATTTAGCCAATAATCACATGATGAATATAGTGGATGCCTTCTTCTGTTAAATAATTAATAACATCTGAATGAATATGAGGTTGAGTATTGTCTTGAGGCAATTTTCTATCCATTGTATCTGATGACTTTCTTTTTTCCCGTATTTCTTTGACAACAGGTTCGAGGTAATTTTTTTAGATAATAGTTGTGCTCTATAGTCTTGTCTTCATCAGTGGTGTGTATAAGAACAGGACCATTTGATTTAAAGAATACAGAAAATAAAATGTTTAGTTCAAATTTTTTTCGTTCATCATTCAGTTAGTGAGGCACCCAACGTGATGTAACTTTTCTCATCTTGAGACAGTCATGAATAATTCGTTCTATTGTACCATGAGAGAGAGCAAATGCTCAGGTATAATATCATCATAACTTGAATGTGCATCATTGTTCATAATCTGTCGTACCAATTCAATATTTGCATCTGTAAGTTCGAAAACTGGACGATCAAATTGAGGTTCATCATTGACATCTTCTCATCCTTTATAGAAACGCTTTGTTCATCCTGCAACTATTCGATATGATGGAGAATTTGGTCCTAAAACTTGTGTGAGTTCTTCGTGAATTGTCTTTGAATCTATTCCGAGATTCCACTATTTATTGATGTAAAAAAAAGTCTTCAATGTTAATTGATTTATAAAATTGTCAATAGCGTTGCCAGAACTTTTAATTAGTCCTAAGTATGTTATGTTATTCGAAGAGTGAAAATTAAAATATTGATAACTCTTGAAGAAAGAACTACTAATCCAAATCCATTTAGGGTTTTTACTAGGACACTTATGTAGTATCTGTAGACAAAAATTCATTGGGACCGAGAGAAGTACCTCCTTTGATTAATTGAAAAAGTTATTTCTATATCATAGGTCATGGTGCATATTTTGCTGATGATCCTAAAAAATCTCATATATATGCGATTCCTGATTCAACAGATGGAACACGTGTTATGTATTATAGTAAAGTCTTATTAGGTATTGAATCGAAACAAACAATAACTGATTCAAAATTAGTAGCGGCTCCAGTTAAATTTCATTCTGTTGTTGGAACATTAAATGGATTTACAGAATATATTGTTTATCGCTATGGTCAAGCCTTGCCATACATGAAAATTCTGTATACGGCTTGATTACTATATTCAACTCTTGACAAAGAATTCTTTTTGTTAGCCAACAATGATTTTTTGAATAAAAATTTTTGTTTTTCCTTGATTATTTTTTTCTGATTAAACATTTGAATTTGATTTTGATTTGAGAATTACTATTAAAGATTTGTATATCGATGTCAATTCGCATCATTTAGCTACTGACTGAAAAATTATTTTAAAGATTTGACTAAAACACAAATTGATTTTGTTTATTTCAATGATCGAACAGTTTTCATTTTCAATTTGTGATTAAGGTTCTATTATATTCTAATAATATTCTTCGGGAAGATAATAAGATCGAACTTTATACAAAGTACGAACCACAATTGATTTCGACCTTTCTTAAGGTTGTCATAAGGTGGCTTTACGATCTCAAGTTCGAATTAAATCGACATGAACTAAATCCGGTATGATCTTTTTTTAATACTTTAGAATTGAAATATAGAGGCAGTAAGAGTTCACGAGAAATAAAGACATGAAAAAATTCGAATAAAATGTTACTAATCATAGGGCGAACACCATTGTTGTTGAAAAATACTACACAGATAGTGATCGAATTAGAGTATGCTGTAGTCGAGAGAGTAGAGATTCATAAAGTCCTATTGTCCTGAAAACTGCCTCAATATATTAGCTGTTTTTGGGTGTGGGTGAGTGTGGGTGGGTGTGGGGTGTGGGTGGGTGTGGGGTGTGGGTATGGGTGTGGGGTGTGGGTATGGGTGTGGGGTGTGGGTATGGGTGTGGGTGTGGGGTGTGGGTATGGGTGTGGGTGTGGGTGTGGGGGTGTGGGGGTGTGGGTGTGGTTGTGGGTGTCGGTGTGTGGGCGTGGTTGTGGGTGTCGGTGTGTTGGCGTGGTTGTGGGTGTCGGTGTGTGGGCGTGGTTGTGGGTGTGGGTGTCGGTGTGTGGTTGTGGGTGTCGGTGTGCGGGTGTGGGTGTGAGTGATTCTCGTTGCCTGATCCACCAGCACCCACACCCACACCCACCCACCCACCCACACACACCCACACCCACACCCACACCCACCCACACACCCACACCCACACCCACCCACACACCCACACCCACCCACACACCCACACACACCCACACACCCACACCCGCACCACCCACACACCCACCCACCCTTATTAAAGCTCTATCTACTATACATGAAAGACAAAATTAAAAGGAACATAATGAAAATCTGTCGTGCACAAAAGAAAAATTATTTCTCATAGGCATAATTATCTTCTCTTCGATAAATCTATTTATTTTCATTTGTCTTCGTTCGATCTCCTACAATAGTGTCAAACTTGAAACTTAACTTCAAGTAGTCATTTCAAATATTCAGTTTATTTATTCAAGCATTCAATAATTGAATACAAGCTTTAAGTTCGACAGGCATGATATAAATAGACATAAAGATAAAAAAAGATTTATTTACTACTCATTAACTCTATCTTTCCAACACAGAGAAAAGCTGAACATAAACTTCATAAACTCTACTCATCAACAAAATCTTTTATGAGTAAGAGTTTATTATTCATTTTTTTTGAATCGATTTATATCTTGATCGGGATAGTTTGTTAAATCGATAAAATAGAATTAATCCATCATTGCAGTTTATTTCTTTTTCTCATTGTTATTTTGAATGTTAAATATGATAGAATTAGAAGTAGATCTTCATCTTAAGATTCATCTATATTGATAGTGATACATTTTTCACTTTTTATTCGAAACATACAAAACATTGACATGCACTTTCTCAGCAATTGGTTTATTTTTTCCAATGAAATCTTCGACTATTTTGCATTTCTCTGCTATCGGATGCCGAAAACTCTCATTTCAAAACGAAAACAAATGAAAAAAAACGATATTGATTCAAGTAGAGATAATTATGCCTATAGGAA